TGAGAGAGTACATGCCATGTTTCTCTTTTTGTGACTGGGTTACCTCACTCAGGATGGTTTCTTCTAGTGTCATCCATTTGCCTGCGCATCTCATGATTCCATTATTTTTTTCTGCTGAATAGTACTCCATTGTGTAGATGTACCACATTTTCTCTATCCACTCTTCGGGTGAGGGACATCTAGGTTGCTTCCAAGTTCTGGCTATTACAAATAAAGCTGCTATGAACATAGTGGAACAGACATCTTTGTTGTATGAATGGGCACCTTTTGGATATATGCCTAAGAGTGGAGTTGCTGGGTCTTGTGGTAGGTTTATTCCCATTTTTCTGAGGAATCTCCATACTGATTTCCAAAGTGGCTGAACCAGCTGGCACTCCCACCAGCAATGGAGGAGTGTTCCCCTTTCACCACATCCTCTCCAGCATAAATTGTCATTGGTGTTTTTGATTTTAGCCATTCTGACAGGAGTGAGATGGTATCTCAGAGTTGTTTTGATTTGCATTTCCCGGATGGCTAAGGATGTTGAGCACTTTCTCAAGTGCCTCTCAGCCATTTTAGACTCCTCTATTGAAAAATCTCTATTTAGTTCTGCAGCCCACTTTTTAATAGGGTCCTTTGGTGTTTTGGAGACTTGCTTCTTGAGTTCTTTGTAAATTTTGGAGATCAACCCTCTGTCAGATGTGGGATTAGTGAATATTTTTTCCCATTCTGTGGGCTGCCTTTTTGTCTTGCTGACTGTGTCCTTTGCCTTACAGAAGCTTCTCAGTTTCAGTAGGTCCCATTTATTAATTGTTGATCTCACTGTCTGTGCTACTGGTGTTATGTTCAGGAAGCTGTCTCCTGTACCAATTCGTGCAAGGGTACCACCCACTTTCTCTTCTAAGAGGTTCAGTGTGGCTGGATTTATGTTGAGGTCTTTGATCCATTTGGACTTAAGTTTTGTGCATGGCGATAAACATGGATCGATCCGCATTCTTCTACATGCCAGTCTCCAGTTATGCCAGCACCATTTGTTGAAGATGCTTTCTTTATTCCACTGTATATTTTTAGCTTCTTTGTCAAAGATCAGATGTTCGTACGTGTGTGGGTTAATACCCGGATTTTCAATTCGATTCCATTGGTCTACCTGTCTATTTTGGTATGTTTCTTCTTCCAATTCTTGCATTTTTCGCTTTGTTTTTTCTTCCATTTCTTGTATTTTTTGCTTCATTTCTTCTTCCATTTCCTGCCTTTTTTGGTTTGTTTTTTCTTCCAATTCTTGCATTTTTTGGTTTGTTTTTTCTTCCATTTCTTGCATTTTTTGGTTTGTTTTTTCTTCCATTTCTTTGAGGGATTTTCCTATATCCTCTTTTAGAGCTTCTATCATTTTCATGAAAGTGCTTTTAAGGTCGTTCTCTTCTGCTTCGTTCGCATTAGAATGTTGGGGTCTTGCTGGTGTGGAGTCTCTAGAATCTGGCAGTGTCATATTTGTTTTTCTGTTGCTGACTGTGTTTTTGTATTGTCTCTTTCCCATCTCTTCTTCTAGTGGGTGCAGAAAGAGCCCCTTACTGGTCTGGGGACCAGAGTTCCCTTTTGGTGGGTGCTAGCAAGTCCAATAATCTGGTGGTTCTTCTATTCCTTGTCCAAATGCTGGTCCCGTGGGTGGAGAAGAAGAACAGGAATCTGGGGCGCTTAGCCTCCTACCTGGTCCCCTGGACCCTATGCTGGGTCCTGTTGTACCTGATCCGGAACAGCTACTCCCCTGGTCTCCCTGCCTCCTCTGGTTTCCTGGTCTCGTTGGTGGGAGAGAAGATCTGGAGTCTGGAGTGCTTGGCTCCCGCCAGGATTGAGAGCTCTGTGCAGTTCCCAGGCGATCTGCAGGCCGGGAACACTGGCCGGGAAGCCGGCCTGTTTACCTGATGCTGCCGGAGGAACAGCTCGAGTTTCTTTCCATTTAATTTTATTTTTGGCCATTAGTTTACTGTATATTACTTTTATCATGTCTAAACATGATCCTGTTATTCCTGATCTTCAAGACTTTTATCATGAAAGGGTGTTGAATTTTGTCAAAGGCTTTTTCAGCATCTAGTGAGATGATCATGTGGTTTTTCTTTTTCAGCTTGTTTATATGGTAGATTACAATGATGGATTTTCGTATGTTGAACCATCCCTGGGAAGAAACCTATTTGATCATGGTGGATGATTTTTCTGATGTGTACTTGGATTCCATTTGCAGGATTTTCTTGAGTATTTTTGCACTAATGTTCATGAGGGATATTGGTCTGTAGTTCTCTTTCTTCGTTGTGTCTTTGTGGGGCTTTTTACCAAGGTATTTGTATCCTCATGAAAATCATTTGGTAATGCCCCTTCTGCTTCTATTGTGTGGAACAGTTTGAGGAGTAATGGTATTAGCTCTTCTTTGAATTTCTGGTAGAATTCTGCACTAAAACCATCTAGCCCTAGATTTTTTTGGTTGGGAAACTTTTTATGACTGCTTCTATTTCATTAGTTGTTATAAGTTTGCTTATATTGTTTATCTGTTCTCAATTTAATTTTTGTAAGTGATATCTATCCAAAAAATTGTCCATTTCCTTTAGATTTTCAAAGTTTGTGGAGTACAGGTTTTCAAAGTATGACCTGATGATTCTCTGGATTTCCTCATTGTCTGTTGTTATGACCCCTTTTCATTCCTGATTTTGTTAATTAGCATGCTGTCTCTCTCACTTTCTCTCTCTCTCTCTCTCTCTCTCTCTCTCTCTCTCTCTCTCTCTCTCTCTCTCTCTCTCTCTCTCTCTGCCTTTTCATGAGTTTGGATAAAACTTTGTATATCTTGTTGATTTTTTCAAACAACCAACTCCTTGTTTCATTGATTCTTTGTATTGTTTTCCTGGTTTCTACTTTATTTTTCAGCCTTCAATTTGATTATTTCCTGACATCTACTCCTCCTGGGTGAATTTGCTTCTTTTTATTCTAGAGCTTTCAGTTGTGCTGCTAATTCTCTAGTGTGACTATTCTCCAGTTTTTTTATGTGGGCACTTAGTGCTATGAACTTTCCTCTTAGCACTGCTCCCAAAGTGTCCCATAAGTTTGGGTATGTTGTGTCTTCATTTTCATTGAATTCCAGGAAGCCTTTAATTTCATTTTTATTACTTCCTTGACACAGGGATAGTGCAATTGTGCATTGTTCAATTTCCATGAGTTTGTATGGGTTCTATGATTTTTGTTGTTGTTGAATTCTAACTTTAAAGCATGGTGGTCTGATAAGTTACAGGGGGTTATTCCAATTTTTTTGTATCTGGGTAGGTTTTCTATGTTGCCAAGCATGTGGTTGATTTTAGAGAAGGTTCCATGTGGAGCTGAGAAGAAGTTATATTCTTTTGTGTTTGGATGGAATGCTATATAGATGCCTGTAAAACTCAATTAGGGCATAACTTCTGTTGGTTATTTTGTTTTTTGTTAAGTTTCTGTCTGGAGATCCTGTCTAGTGGTGAGAGCATAGTGTTGAAGTCTCCTACTACCAGTGTATGCGGTTTTATGTGTGATTTGAGCTTTATTAATATTTTTTACGAATGTGTGTGCCTTTGTATTTGGGTTATAGATGTTCAGAATTGAGACTTCATCTTAATGAACTTTCCCTGTGATGAATATAAAATGCCCTTCTTCCTCTCTTTTGATTGATTTTAATTTGAAGACTAATTTGTTATATATTAGTATTGCTGCACCAGCTTGTTTCTCAGGTCCACTTGATTGGTCCACTCTATTTGGTGTTCTGTAAGCTTCTTGCACTTTCATTGGCATGTCTTCCTTTAGGTTGGGAAAGTTTTCTTCTATGATTTTGCTGAATATGTTTTCTGCATCTTTGAGGTGGGTTTCTTCACCTTCTTCTATACCTATCATTCTTAGGTTTGGTCTTTTCACAGTGTCCCATATTTCCTGGGATTTGTTGAACTTAAGATTTTTTTGGTCATTGCATCTATTTCTCCTAGTGTATCTTCAATGCCTGAGATTCTCTCTTTCATTTCTTGTATTCTGTTGGTTATGCTTGAGTCTGTAGTTCCTTATTGTTTACCTTGCTTTTCTATTTCCAATATTCCCCAGTTTTTGTTTTCTTTATTGTCTCTATTTCAATTTTCATGTCTTGAACTGTTTGAATTGTTTCCTTCACCTGTTTGATTGCTTTTTCTTGACTTTTTTTTGCTTTATTTAAGAGATTTGTTGATTTCTTGTAATTTTTTAAGGTCATTCTCTTCTGCTTCTTCTACGTTGGCATGTTCAGGCCTTGCTGGTGTAGAGTCCCTACACTCTGGTAGTAACATATTGGATTTTCTGTTGATGAATGTGTTTTCTATTGTCTTCTTCCCATCCCTTCTTCTGGTGGGTGCAGGACGAGTTTCTTCCTCTCCTGGTGAGTACAGGTGCAAGGTTCCCTTTTAGTGGGTACAAGCAGGTACAATATTTCTATGGCTCTCCTCTTCCCATGGGTGGAGGCGAAACTGGTACTGGGCCTTGGGAGTCTCTGGATGGACTGGACCACTGGGATGTGATCCCTGGTGCACAGTCTCCAGGTATCAGGTGGCTCTGAGCAGGGCAAAGGAAGGTGAGTGGGACACAGGCCCAAGTTTTTATCATCCTGTGGGCAAAGAAATGGACTAGGAGGCTGGCAGTCTCTGGGTGGGCTGGACCCTGCTGGGATGGGACCCCCAGAGTGCAGTTCCCAGGCCTCAAGTGACTCTGAGAAGGACACCAGAAGCTTTATTATTATTATTATTATTATTATTATTATTATAAAAGTGAAGACTTGAACCAGATTCTTCTCCTCTAAAGCTCATGTTCTTTGCACTGCACTGTTCAGAATATCCTGACACCCACAACAGTATGATGTACAGCTTAGACAGATGACTAAATTCATCCAGCTGTTGAAGGGTGGAAGGAACAGAGGAAGGAAAAACATGAAAGAACAACAAACCCTAATGAGTTCACTTATGCTCCATATTTCTTCCCTAATTTATGATTTTTTTTAGAAATATGTCACAGTGAAGGAACAGAGAATTTTTACCACACTAAGACCTGGAAAATGGAGGATTTCCTGAAGAATTTCACACAGCTATTACTTTTACCAAAACATTGCCCAAGAGGCTGGGAGACCTTGAACAGAAAAAGCTTGCATGAAACTAAAGGAGAGGACAGAGGATATCTGATTGAGATCCAAGACTTATTTAACCCAAGCCCAGATACCCAGGAAGAGCCTCAATTAGTCATATTACAGGGAGCTGCTGGGATTGGGAAGTCAACGCTGGCCAGGCAGGTGAGGAGAGCATGGGGGGAAGGCCAGCTCTACAGAGATCGCTTCCAGCATGTCTTCTACTTCAGCTGCAGAGAGCTGGCCCAGTGCAAGCAGCTGAGTCTGGCTGAGCTCATAGCAAAAGATCAGACTGTGCCTGCAGCTCCCATCAAAAAAATCCTGTCTCACCCTGAGAAGCTGCTCTTCATCCTGGATGGCATAGATGAGCCAGCATGGATCTTGGAAGAGAAGAATCCCGAGTTATGTCTACACTGGAGCCAAAAACAGCCAGTTCACACACTGCTGAGCAGTTTGTTGGGGAAAACTGTCCTATCTGGGTCTTTCTTGTTGCTTACAGCTCGGACCACAGATCTGAAGAAGTTCATCCCTTCTTTCAGGCAGCCTTGTTTGATAGAAGTCCTGGGTTTCTCCAAGTCTGGACGGAAGAAATACATCTACAAATATTTTGCAAAGAAAAGAGAAGCCACTAAAGTTTTTAAGTTAGTTGAAACAAACCCAGTGCTCTCAGCACTGTGTGTGGTGCCCTGGGTGTCCTGGCTGGTCTGCACTTGCCTGAAGCAGCAGATGGAACAGGGGGGAGACCTCTCACTGACTTCACAGACCACCACAACCCTCTGCCTGAAATACCTTTCCCAGACTCTTCCAGGTCATGTCCTGGAAACACATCTCAGAGAGTTATGCTCACTGGCTGCTGAGGGGATCTGCAGAAGAAAGACCTTGTTCAGTGAGAGAGATCTTCAGATGCAAAGGTTAGGTAAAAATGTCATTACCACTTTCTTGAAGACAGGTATCCTTCAGAAGCAGCCCAGTTCTCCATGCTACAGCTTTGCCCACTTGTGTCTCCAGGAGTTCTTTGCAGCAATGTCCTGCATCTTAGAGAGAATGGATATCTACAGAGTTGTGGAAACACTGAAGGAAGTCTATGGAAGATATGGCCTGTTTGAGGCACCCACTATGCGCTTTCTATTTGGTCTTTTAAGTCAAAAGGGAATGAGAAAAATGATGAAGATCTCTTCGTATAGGTTGCCTTGGAAGACAAGGTTGTACCTCCAACGGTATATCCTGGATGAAACTCTACACCATCAGTTATACTCTCTGGGTTTACTCCATTGTCTGTATGAGATGCAGGATGAGGATGTCCTGAAAGAAGTGATACATAATTATCAAAAAACAAGTGTGCATAACCCAGTGGATATGGCGCGCCTAGTGTTCCAGACAGGAGTGAAGTACATGGTGGTCCAGACAGATATGGACCTCATGGTGGTCACTTTCTGCATTAAGTTCTTCCACCATGTGAAGAGGCTTCAGATGAATGCAGGTGGACAGCAGAGAAAAATCTCGAAGGCACCCAGGATAGTTCTGTGAGTATCTGTGGATCCCATGAGTACACATGTTAGGAGCACTAGTAGCACTCATAGCTGGATCCAGGGCAGCATGATACAGGTCATCAGTGACATCCAACTGCTGAATCTGACAAACTTTCTCTACTTGCCTCTGTGTGCCTGACTATGCAAGGGACTATGAGCTTTTATATCTTCTTAGGCCTTGGTGAGGACACCTACCTGTTCTGATTCAAATCTTCTTCATCCTTCACAAGATTCAGATAGCCCACAATCATTGATCTCTCTCTTAATGTGATTTCTCTCTAAGAGGCTGCTTATTCAGCTCATGCAGGCACCACCCTCTATCTGCATGGCAGTGACCTTGGCCCTGAGGTGTTCCCATCATCAGTTCAAGGAGCATATGTATGAGCATCCCTATATTTTCCCTGGCCATATGGTTTGCTTGCATGTGTCAATGAAGGCAGCATGTCCCTGGCACTGAAATTGGAGTCTTACTAACTTCCCTCCAATCTCTGCAGCAATGTAGACCTCCCCATCCAGGGGCCCCTACCACTGTGCAGAAGTGATGACTCAGTGTCAATATGTGTCTCTCTCCTCCCTAGATAATTCATTAAACACTGACTTCATATCAGGTTCTACCAATCAATCACAAGAGGAGAAACACAGTTTCTGCCCTGAGGATTTCAAAACTGGGAGAGAAGACAGCCACTCTAATTACATAGGCCACAACTCTTAAAATAAGCAGGAACAGACCAGTTATTTAGAGTTGTGGACTTTGACACCAATCTGAATACAACAAGAGTTCATGTGAAAAATAAATACCTTAAAAGTAGCAGAGTGAAGGTTAGAAAACAGGAAGAGGATGAAGAGAGGAGGGGAAAGGGTTAAAGAGAACAAATGTCATCAAACTGTGTCACACACATATGGGAAGTTGTCTCAATAACTCTCATTTTATATCATTAGGAAGGACTAAAAATAAAAACATACTAGATGTAGAAAAGTGAGGCTATACAAATCATCAAAACAAAATTTTATGTCAACCAGAATCCCATTCCTCAGAAAGAACAACATTGAAAATTGGGGTACCTGAGCTTGGTCATTCACACCTGTCTTCCCAAACTCGGAAGTCTGAGACAAGATCAGAAGTTCCAGTCCAGCCTGGGCTGCATAGTGTGACAATGTCTCAAAATATCAGAGACTAAGGAGAGATTATTTTATTGACTACTTTTCTTCGGTTGTGATAAAACACCATGGCTAAGGCAACTGTAAGACAGAAGAGTTTATTTTATTTTATGGTTCCAGAGGGATCAGGGTCCATCATGACAAAGGAAAAGGATGTGACTGGAACAGCAGCTGAGAGCTCATTCTTGAACCACAAGCGGGAAACAGAAGGAGTGTACGGGAAATGGCTCCAGGCCTTGAAATCATAAATCCTGACCTCAGTGACTTATTTCCTCCCACAAAACCACACCTCCCAAGCCTCCCCCAAAAGTGCCACGAATTGAGAACCAAGCATTCAAATGTCTATGACTAGGTGACATCTCACTAAAAACACCACACCTAATCAGTCCAAGACCATAGGTTTTACCCACAGCATGAAAGAAAAAATGTGATATGCCCTTTGATCTTTTCTCTATATACTTTTATTATAAGAACACTGAGCCACACAATTTCTGTTATCTTATATTCACATTTATTTTCTTAATGAGTTAAGGCTGTCTTCTCTGGTTACTAAAGATCTAGTACAATACCATTCTGAATAGCCTTCTGATATTGCCTAAGGAGAATACCTTAGTGAATTGGATCATTCTCCTGTTCTTGGCCAATATAAGTTGTTTCTAAGTGTCTACAGTTATAAAAAGTGACCCTTGAAGGGCCTTGATACAGATGTTGTGAGCAGAAGTGGTCTGATGTGAGTTTTCAGAAGAATTCTAGTATGCACAGAGGCAGAGATCAGTTAGGGAAAGAGAAACACGGAACGCCAGCATGCTTGCAATGGACAATGGTCTTGGGAGCTTGGGGGCAACCCCATGGAGAGCATGAGGCTTTGACTGCTAGTGAGAAAGTAAAGATAGGTAGGTCAACAAGGAGGCCATTTCACACTAAGCAAACATGGGTGGAAGCTCCCAAAGTCAAAAATCGAAAATGGCAGGTGAATGTCTTAGGGTTTCTATTGATGTAAAGAGACACCATGACCATAGCAAGTCTTTCAAAGCAAGCATTTAAGTGTGGTGACTTACTTAAAATTAAGAAGTTCAGTACATTATCATCATGGTAGGACATGGCAGTGTACAGGAAGACATGGTGCTGGAGAGGTAGCTGCTACATGTTGATATGCACACAACTAGAAGTAGACTGTCTCTCTCGGCATGACTTGAGCACGTATAAGACCTCAAAGCCTGCCTCCACAGCAACACACTTCCTCCATCAAGACCAGATCTACTCAACAAGACTACAGCTCCCAGTATTGCCACTCCCTTTGGGGGATATTTTCTTTCAAACTACCACAGTGAACAATGCAGGGTGGGGTTCATAATGGTTCCTCATGTTCTTTGAGTTCTGAAGTTCCGCTTTCAGTCAGTGTGACTACTAAGCGTGCATCAAATCTGCCATCCCTGGAGGGCTGAGAGAGTAGTGTCACGATAGAAATCCTGATGTTCTTTCAGAGTGTGTGCATCCCTTCCTAGGACCCAGAACCACCTTTATCTGTATCAAGTGTCTGTAGATTTCTGATGCAATGAGTGCAAACAGACAAGCAGGCATACAAACATACACTGTTTTAGTTAGCACTTTCACTGCTGTGAAGAGACACCATGACCACAGAAACTCTATAGGGAAAACTGTTAACTGAGATGACTTGCTCACACTTTCAGAGATTCAGTACATTATCATCATGGTGGGGAGCATGGCAGTGTGCAGGCAGACAGAGTGCTGGCTACATCTTGATGTGCAGGCCACAGGAAGTCGACAGACATCCTGAGCAAAAGAGACCTCAAAATCAGCCCACACAGTGACACACTTCCTCTGACCATGCTGAAAACACTCCAACAAAACCACACCTCCTAATAGTGTCACTCCCTATGAGATTATGGGGGCTAGTTACGTTCAAACTACCACATACATATTAAGTAAAAAGTAAGTAAAGTGTTTTAAAAACACCATCCTTCAAAGTCTGGTATTTGTTTTCCTTGGCATTCTTTAGTTCTGTAAAATTAAAAGAAAACCTCCTGTACTTTTTGTTTCAGTCAAAGTTGGTCATCTCTAATCTCAGTTTTGGAACTTGAGGTTGTATTTTGAGTTTGTTACACGGTTTTGTTTACAGTGTTAGGGATCAAATGGTGCACATACCAGACTCAAAGATACTCCCAACCCCGTTAGTATGCAGCTTAGGCTGATTTAAAATTCACTTTATATGCTTGGTTTCTGGCATTAAAGGAATGCCTTACCATGCAGGGTGATATATTCTCTCTCTGTCTCTGTCTCTGTCTCTCTCTTTCCCACTCACTCACTCTCTCTCTCTCCCTTCCTTTCTGTGTGTGTGTCTGTCTTACTTTCAATTTATCTCTGCCTACATGATCTCTCTGTGTGCATATGTCTCTCCCTCCATCTATCTGTCTGTCTATCTATCTTTCTATCATGAACCAACACATTAGTAGTATTTGTGGCCACGCTCAACATCCACTACATAGTCACTCTCAACCAACTCTCCTGAGCTCTTTCCCATGTCCTCTTTTCAGGTTTCCTTTATTAGATGCCAGAATTCAGTTCCAAAGGGAATCAGATATATTCACATCAAAATGAAGAGGCTGTCTGAATTATCAGGGTCCTTTATTATATCATAGTATGTGCTGGTTAATGTAGATTAAAAAGAAAAGTTGTGGGACACCTAGATTGAGTCAGAAACAGACACACAGAATGAACACATGACATGCTATGATAAGGATATAGATGAGGAACTACCCAGAGGAGAGGATCCAGATGCTGGAACAAAGGACCATGTAGAAGCTGATGAATCATCTGAGGACGCTATATTGAAGTCTGGTGGTCAGGCACACAAGAATAACAATCCTAATCTGCTGTGTGGACTGTGCACCTCAGACCATGCACACATGAGTCACATCCCTCATACCCTCTCTCCCTCTCTCTCTCTCCTCAGGTCCAGGTGGACCCCGATTACTAATGCCAGTTGGCAGGTTCTCTTCTACATGCTTGAGTTCACAGGAAACCTGAAGGAGCTGGACCTAAGTGGAAACCCACTGAGCTACACTGCACTGCGGAGTCTTTGTAGGACCCTGAGATGCCCTACATGTCACCTAAAGACATTGTGGTGAGTTTGGCCTTGGTTGTCCCTGGAAGCAGAGATGGATGACAGGAGAAGAAAGACAAAAGGCGGGTTGTGAGTAAGGCTTATTATTCATCACATAGTCACCAAACCCTCTTGATCATAACCATGACAGACTTGATAAACAAATGGAATCTGCTCTTGGGGCTCATGAGAGACTGACATTCAACAAGGAGCCCCACTAGCTATTGCTAACTACAGGCCCATGAGGTCTCTCATAGAGCAAACTTCCTGAGGAAGTGGCTACAGAAGAACTGATTAACACAGAGGAAGAGGCTAAGTGAAGCAGGAAGGAAGAAAGCTCCAGGTCCAGGGACAATATCTCCCCATTTCCTCCTGCTCTCTGCCTTTGTAAACACCTTCTATTCTGTTTCTATGGACTCCATCTGTACTAATATTACACATGATGAGTAAGATCATTCCCTATTCTATAGCTGGTGAACATCACTTCAGATGGCTCTTGAAATAAGCCAGTGAGTTGTCCTGGGCCTCGTGGAGCTCTGCCATTGCCAGGGGCAACAGAGCAGTGGTCACCAAGCTGTTCTCCACTGCTCCTGCTGCTCAGCTGTGGGAAGCATGGAATTACACACCCAGACTAGAAAAGGAACCCCAGAGAGCTGAGCACTGCTAACACAGCATGCCAGGCTCACAAAGGGAGAACTGAGCTCAGTTCCCAAGAGCAGTGAGCCCTGGAGGAGCTGATGGTGAGCATCTTCCATGCAGGCTTGTCAACTGTGGCCTCACATCCAGACACTGTGAGGACCTGGCCTCTGTACTCCAGTCCAGCTCCAGCCTGACTGAACTAGACCTGCAGCTGAATGACCTGGGTGACCATGGTGTGAGGCTGCTATGTGAGGGGCTCAGGAATCCTGCCTGCAACCTCAGAATCCTGCTGTAAGTAAGGCCCAGAAATTCCCTCTGTGGAGGAGGCAAGGGAAGGGACACAGGTGTGTTACTAGATGACAAGACTAATCTGCTTAGTCAGTCTGGCTACTCAACAGCTCTGCCACTGACACGCATGACTTCGGCAAGTCCCTGTATTCTTTTTTTTTTATAGAAATTATGTGTTTTTTACACGTTTTTATCATATATTTAAATTAGGAACAAGCTTGCTTCCCATTTCAGTCCCAGCTCCCGCTCCCTCCCCTCCACGCCCATTCCCCCCCTACCAGCCCTCCCAGCCCCCCACCCAATCCCCACTCAATTCCCTAGGGAGAGTAAGCCCTCCATGGGAGATCTCTAGAGTTCTGGGGAGGGCCGACCAGATTGAGAAAGCATCCCTCATTGTGGGATGGGTCCCCAAAGTCCATTTGTGTGGCAGGGATAAATACTGATCTACTACCCAAAACCACACAGATTGCCTGAGTCTCCTCACTGACACCCACATTCAGGGGGTCTGGATCAGTCCCATGCTGGCCTCTCAGCCATCAGTCTGGGGTCCAAGATCTCCCCCTTGTTACAAAAGTCCCTGTATTCTTTAAAACTCGGTTTCCTCATCTATCAAATTGAATGTCATACCTACCTCATGGATTCCAATGACATAAAATGCACATATGTAAAAACAAAGATAATACCAGGTCAATGGTTAGGCATTGTGTATTATTAAGGCTATTATTCTTAACCACTCAGCATCTCTCTCCAGTTAAGGTTATTATTCTAATGGGCTCAGGGCTTCATATTCTAATGGACTCATTTATTCATTCATGAATACAAACTACATGCATTCACATCAGGCCCTGGTTCAGGCCCTAGGGATACAATCAAACACACGTGGCTCTGTCCCCCTGAAACTGTGTGGGAAGAGACAGACATGGGTCACCTGTGAGCCCAGATTCAGTATTGACAAGCTCTGCTGAGTGCTGTGGGGTCAACAGTATGGTGTGAATGCAATGCTGTGAGAGGACCTGCTTTATTGAATGGCCCAGGGGGAGTTCTCCTACGTCTGATAGAGAAATAGGCCTTGGTTGGGCCAACATGGAGACAGCATCCTAGGAAAAGACAGATTTGGGGAAAGCTCTGGAACCCTATGGGGTTTCACCACGGGAACTTGATGTGGTTCTCTGTCCAGAATCCCTTTAGGATTATGGCCATGACCTCCAGCCACTAGGAATGATCTACGACAGTGTTCCCTTCCCTGGGACAGTCTGTTTCCAGTGATTGACCTGTGGGGGGGGAGGTATAAAGGGTCAGCCCTCATTGCAGCTCTCAAAACTTCCAAAAGTCCTTATCCTGACTTCATATCTCTCTGTAGAGTGACAAAGCCCCACCTAGACAGTATCATGGACACATTTCCTTTGTCCTGGTTTTGGCTCAAGAATAAGCCTTAATAAGGCTCCATCTATAGACAACAGAGTCCAGTATCCTGGACCCTAAGGTCTCATGATTCTGTGGTGGATCCCAGAACAAGCAGCCCCCTCTTGTGCTTGCAGTCTGGACCAGGCCCCTCTCAGTGAGCAGGTGATGATGAAGCTCAGGGCCCTGGAGGCAGAGAATCCACAGCTGCTCATCTCCAGCACATGGTAAGTGGTGGACACAGAACTCCTACTGGTCAACCCAGGCCCTGTATGGCTGTTCCACAGAGGAGGGGTGGTAAAAGATTCCTGGGGTGATGGGGAAGATGCACAGAGCCATGAATAAGCCAGGAACCACAGCAACCAAAATGAGGAAGGATTCTGTGTACTGGAGGATTGTATTGTTTTAATTCAGAAAAAAGCAAAGTCTTATCTCATACCTACATAAGTTCTTCCATCTGAACAAAGTAAAAAGGGTGAATTAGAAGTCCTCTGGGCACAGTGAGTGACAGTGGTAGCCACCAGGAAACACAAACCACAGGAACAATGAAAGCAGAAACCACACTTACAGAAGACACAGAAAAACTCCTAGAGAACAAAAACCACTATGGGTATCACTGTCCTAACTTTATTGTTCAGATACATCCATACACACAGGATTATGTGCATGCCACACACAGGACACACACACACACACACACACACACACACACACACACACACACACACACACACTGTACTATGGGATATAAAGCCTCAAGACAGGAAAGTTATTTTCCAACTCTAGGAGCTAGCTATACTGAAGCCCCATGTTCTCACAATGAATTTAGGTTCATGACCATGAATTCCTTCTGTCCTCAGCTTCCTAGCTGTCATACCACACGTGAAATCAAGGGTTCTATAGACATAGGATGGCCATCATCCATTGACTGAACATTTGTACAAGACCCACTGTGCATCATACACTTTTTTGGGGGGTCTGAGGGCATGTCAATGAACAAGGCAGACATGGTCCATCATTTGGTATCATTGAATACATGCAGTGAGGGGACACTTGTGACCCCAACCTCCATGGAATTGTATCTAGGAACCCTATGAGTACAGTGGTGGTCTGTCTGACCTGATCCAAAGCTGAGGCAAGCTCTCAAAGATGAGAAATGTAGGGTTGATCCAAAGAAATTTCCAAGCAGAGGTAGACCATAAGGAAGCAGAAAGAGCATCTCCACTGTGGGTCAGGAGACCATGTGTGAGACCATCTGCTCTGCCTCATAAAACCTGAGAGTTCCACAGAAACGCAGGTTCTCAGGCCCACTCCATCCCTGATGCCTCAGAAGCTCAGGAGGAGCAGCTTCCTTGGGTGAGCTTTCTGATTTAGCGCACTGAAATCGACTTTTAACACAGTGATTGAGAGCCACTGGTCTAGATTTAAGCAGGAAAGGGTGACATGGGAGGGCCTGGAGGTGGATTGGAGTCACAGCAAGAACTATGAACAATCCTAAGAACCTTCTGCTTATCCCCAGAGGAAATGAAAGACATTCCTGCTCATCTGCCATGAAGTGACATCTCTCCCCATTTTTTACGGTCAGCTACTATGCAGAAAATAGGGTAGAAGAGACCAAATCAGCATCTGGGATAACAGTGAAAAGATGGGACAGTGGTTCAGAGCAATGCTTGCTCCATCCTGGGACATTGATGGAGTCTGCAGAGGAGGAGAGTAAAGAACAGAAAGGACAGAGATTTAGAGTCCTGTGTAGACAATTAGCATCCTGGGTGAGTGACTATTAAGTTCTTTAATGCAACTATAACTCAACTTCTGACATTGGACACTGAAAGAACTGAGATTATTTCTTGCAGTTCTGGATAGAGGGAAGGGCCAGGGCATGGACCCTGCATCTAGAGAATCTCTTCTTCCTCTTCCATCTGATTGTGCATCTGGGAATGCTGAGAGTGAGAGGCCAAGCTGGCTTTAATGACAAGTCCTGTCAGGCCACAGGAATCCACTCCTGTGATGATGACATTAACCCCTTCATGAAGGCAGAGCACTCATGAACTCATTGTGTCTTATCCTTCATCCTATCAGCACTGAGACATTGGGGGCTAACTTTCTAAACAGTAAACTTGAGGAACACACTCAAATTATAGCAAAGGAGGGATTGAGATGAACTTATTCAGGTAGCATTGATGCCCAGAAAGATTGGGGCCTTCGTAGAGTTCTGTCCCAGTGAAGCAGCATGGGACTGAGTTCAAATTCAGATGAGATGGATTTTATGTGGGATATCATATACACAGCCCTAATTTCTTTGGTTTCTCCTGACATCTTTATGTGTAGGAATCCACGTGTGATGGACCCTACTACAAAAGTGGATAAAGAAGAAATGGGTGATTACCTGACCTCATTAAAGCAGCAACGACTACAGTTGGGTATGTGAAGGGTTTAGAACCAGAGCATCATGACTGGTGCAACATCCCTGTCATATACAAAAAGAATTATCTGTAACTGATGCTCTAGAAATGGTCCTCATTTCTAACATTCTGTCTCTGACATGGAACAGTACAGACTCTCCAATAAGAGCACCAACCCCTGCAAGACTTTCCATTACTTGAATCCAGTGAGAATACGACTTACTTTTTCCTAGACTTGGGGCTGCTCGTGCCCCTTTCTCTAGTCTGTGGTTTTCATCAGGCTCTATACCAGCTCTTTTCTCATTCTGGGGTGCTATGGCCTGGGACTCACTTCCCTATCTCTGCTCATCTATCTTTTGAGTTATGTTTTGGTCTTAACATGCTCACTTGAGGCACGCTAGGAGAACCAACACCTATGGACTAATTAGAAAAGGGTGGTTAGACATATGAAAATCTGTCAACGGAATCCACCATATAAACAGACTGAAAGAAAAATCACATGATCATGTCACTAGATGGACTAATTAGAAAACGGTGGTTAGACATATGAAAATCTGTCAACGGAATCCACCATATAAACAGACTGAAAGAAAAATCACATGATCATGTCATTAGATGGACTAATTAGAAAAGGGTGGTTAGACATATGAAAATCTGTCAATGGAATCCACCATATAAACAGACTGAAAGAAAAATCACATGATCATGTCACTAGATGGACTAATTAGAAAACGGTGGTTAGACATATGAAAATCTGTCAACGGAATCCACCATATAAACAGACTGAAAGAAAAATCACATGATCATGTCATTAGATGGACTAATTAGAAAAGGGTGGTTAGACATATGAAAATCTGTCAATGGAATCCACCATATAAACAGACTGAAAGAAAAATCACATGATCATGTCACTAGATGGACTAATTAGAAAAGGGTGGTTCGACATATGAAAATATGTCAATGGAATCCACCGTATAAACAAACTGAAAGAAAAAATCACATGATCATGTCATTAGATGCTGAAAAAGCCTTTGACAAAATTCACCACCCTTCATGATAAAAGTCTTGGAGAGATTAGGGACACAAGGAACATACCCAAATGTAATAAAGGGAATTTACAGCAAACTGACAGACGACAACAAATTAAATGGAGAGAACCTCAAAGTGATTAGACTAAAATCAGCAACATGACAAGACTTTCCACTCTCTTCACACCTAGTTAATTCAGTATTTAAAGTTATAGCTAGAGCAATAAGAAAACAAAAGGAGATTAAAGCAGCACAAACTGGAAAGAAGTCAAACTTTCACTATTTGCAGATGATATGATAGTATTCATAAGTAACCACAAGAATTGTACAGCTGATAAGTAACTTCAGCAATGTGTCAGGATACAAAATTAACTCAAAAAAGCAATTGTTCTCCTATATACAAATGATAAAAGAGCTGAGAAAGAAATCATAGAAACATGACACTTTACAATAGCCACAAATTATATTAAAATATCTTGGGGTGACTCTAACCAAACTAATGAAGAACCTGCATGACAAGAACTTAAAGTTTGAAGAAAGAAATTGAAAAATATATCAGAAAACGGAAAAATCTCCCATGATCATGAATAGGTAGGACCAACATAATAAAAATGGCAATCCTACCAAAAACAATCTACAGATTCAATGCAATCCCCATCAAAATCCCAAAACAATTCTTCCAGACCTTGGAAGAACAATACTCAATTTCATATGGAAAAACAAAAGACCTATAGTAGCTACAACAATCCTGTAGAATAAAGGAACTTCAGGAGACATCACCATCCCTGACTTTAAGCTCTATTATAGAGCCATAGTCATAAAAACAGCTTGACATTGACATAAAAGTAGACAAATGGACAAATAGAATTGATTAAAGACCCTAATGTTAATTCACGCACGTATGAATACCTGATTTTTGACAAATAAGTCAGAAGTGTACAATGAAAAAGAAACCACCTTCAACAAATGGTGCTGGTATAACTGGACATCAACATGTAGAGAATAGAAAATAGATTCATATCAATCACCGTGCACAAAATTCAAGACCAAGAGGATCAAAGACTTCAACATCAATCCAAGTACACTGAACCTGATAGAAGAGAAATTGGGAGGTAGCCTTGAACACACCGGCAAAGAAGACCACTTCCTAAGTATAACGCCAACAGCACAGACACTGAGAGCAACAATTAATAAATGTGACCTAAAACTGAAAAGATTCTGTAAGGCCAAGGACACAATAAAACAAATGACAACTTACAGAATGGAGAAAGATCTTCCCCAATCCCACATCTGACAGAGGGCTGATCTCCAAAATGTATAAAGAACTCAAGAAACTAGAGGTTAAAATAAAATAATCCAATTAAAAAGTGTATACAGATCTAAACAGAGAATTTTCAGCAGAAGAATTTCCAATGGTAAGAAGAGATTTAAGGAATTCCTTGACATCCTTAGTCATCAGGGAAATGCAAATCAAAACAACTTTGAGATACCAGCTTATACTTGTCAACATGGCTAAATAAGAAACACCAACGACAGCCTATGTTGGATAGGATTGGAATAATGGGAACACTCCTCCATTGCTGGTGGGAATGCAAACTTATACAACCATTTTCAAAATCAGTATGGCAGTTTCTCTAAAAATTGGGTATCAATCTACCTCAAAACCCAGCATTACTACTCTTGGTCTTATACCCAAAGGATGCTCAATCATACCACAAGGACATTTGCACAACTATATTCATAGCAACATTATTCTTCATTAGAAGAACCTCAAAACAACCTAAATTTTCTTCAACCAAAGAATGAATAAAGAAAATGTGATACGTATTTACCATCTAGGATTAATCAGCTGCAAAAACAATGACATCATGAAATGTGCAGGCAAATTAATGGAACTAGAAAAAAATCATTCTGAGTTCGGTAACCCAGACACAGAAAGACAAACACAGTATGTCTTTACTCATAAATGGATACAATATATAAAGCAAAGAATAACCAGACCACAATCCACAGCTCCAGAGGAACTGGGTAACAAGGAGGACCCTAAGAAGGACACATGGATCACCCTGGAAAGGGGAAATAAATGAAATCTCCTGGGTAAACTCTGGGCTGGGAGGCAGTAAAGGGGAGGGGATGGGGGATGAAAACATGAGGGAACAAGATGATGGAATTGGAAGAGAGATGGGGTGGGAGAGCAAGGAAAGAGTTATCCCAATATAGGGAACCATTATGGTACTAGAGAGGAACCCATGCTAGGGAAATTCCCGGGAATCCATAAGGATGACCCCAGCTAAGACCCCCATCAATAGTGGAGAGGGTGTCTGAACTGGCCTTCCCTTTTAATCAGATTAATGACTACCCTAACTACCATCATAGAACCTTCATCCTGTAACTGATGGAAGCAGATGTAGAGATCTACAAAGCACCAGGACAAGCTAAAGGAGTCCAGTCGAAGAGAGGGAGGAGGGATTATATGAGTAAAAGGGGGATAAAAATCATGATGGGGAAATCCACAGAGACAGTTGACCCAAACTTATGGGAGCTCACAGACGCTAAACTGACAACTGAAGAGTTTTCATGGAACAAAACCCAAGCCCTCTACATGTGGGCAACAGTTTTGTAGCCTGGTCAGCTTGTGGGACCAAGATCTATCCCTAGTGCATAAGCTGCCTTTTGGAGCCCATTCCATATGGTGGAATGCCTTGGAATGCCTTGCTCAGCCTTGATGCAGGCTAGTGGGGTGCTTGGTCCTGCCTCAACTGAATGTGGCAGGCTTTGTTGACTCACCATGAGAGGCCTTACCCTTTCAAAGGAGTGGATAAGGGTGAGGTGGGGAGAGGTGGGGGGTGGGGAGAAGGGAAGGGTAACTGTGGTTGATATGTAAAATGAATAAATAAAATTTAAAAAGAAAACAAATGGGTGGTGTGGAGGCAGGTATTATGATGGGATGGTTGGTCAGAAGGAAGGGTAGAAAGACAATAAAACTATATATAAAATCATGCTGGTAGTCTGAGAAATGGTGATGAAAATTGCAGATGTACCTCCACCTTAAGCCTAGGCTGGAAAATGTGGAAATGAGTTTAGCTATAGTTCACAGCTATGGGGAGATGAGCCTCTTAGAGTAGTGGATTTGCAACTTGCATCGCTAAAGACCTTCCATCCATCTTCTCCTGCCTCTCCAGGACACAAGCACACGGAACCACTGGGGACTGACGATGACTTCTGGGGCCCTACAGGGCCTGTGGCTACTGAGGTGGTTGACAGAAAGAGAAACCTTTACCGGTGAGTAAGCTCTGCCTGGAAAAGGTGACTTTCCCCAGCACACTAGCCACACTATTCACCTAGTCTCTACCCTGTCTTATACCATCACCAGTGCCAGAGGCAAGGCTAGGACTGGAATAAAGTTTGGGTTGTTATAAAAATAGGGGTCCTTTTGGAGATCCCCCAAGGAGGGCCTCACCTGCCCTGGGGAATGATGTGGGGATTGGATGGGGGCTGGGGGGGCTGGGGGGCTGGTGGAGGGACAAGGGAGGAGGGGTGGGAGAGGGAGCTTGGATTGACATGTGAAGCATTCATGTTTCCAATTTAAATTAAAACATTACAAAAAACAAAAAATAGGGGTCTTTTTTCATGAAAAATTTCAGACATTTACAAAACTGGTAGGCACAAGAACTTCTCTGTCCAACTATGCAGCTCCAGCAACCATTCTTGCAAGTTTGTTTCAACTACTCACATTTCACTATGCCTCACCTGTAGTTAAGACAGGCCCTTACCTTCCATGACCACTCACCATTACCACATCAACAGAGCTGACATGTGTCCTTCATTCCATCTAAACAGTCTTTGCTCAGTTTTCCTAATTACCTGGAATGTGGACTTTCTGCTGGTTATTGTATTCATGGTGTAAACAGCATCTGTTCTCTCATTGCATTTGGTTTATCTTGTCTCTTAGATTTCCCCTAAATCCCTATAGTCTCTGCACTCCTGCTTCACCAACAACCACTATGTGCCAAGAACCCACTAGGAGCTAAGAACATGAGGATGCCCTGGCCTCCAAGAATTATAGTCCTAAGAATAATATATATACAGTGATTATATATGCATAGTCACTGGGTCTTCCATAACCTGCTACCCTCCCCCAGCACTGTCACAGTCACTCTATCAGCTGGAAAACTGTCACTTTAACTTCCTCCAACAGAAACTGATACTTGTCCATCCATCTGTCACCAAACAGGAAGCCTTGAGAATATCACTGAAGATCTTCATAAATTGTATCAGGGCCAAAGATTCATCATCTATATTAGCAGATGTACTCTTATTCTTGTGAAATATATTCTTTTTTCTCTCAATATATGTTTTTATTTAATTAGAAACGTGAATGTTTCACATGTCAGTCCCAGCTCCCTCTCCCACCCCTCCTCCCTTGTCCCTCCACCAGCCCCCCAGCCCCCCACCCAATCCCCACATCATTCCCCAGGGAGGGTGAGGCCATCCTTGGGGGGATCTCTAAAATCTGTCATTTCATCCAGGGCAGGACCTAGGCCCTTCCCCATGTGTCCAGGCTGAGAGAGCATCCCTCTATTTGGAATGGGCTCCCAAAGCTCATTCATAAACCATGGTAAACACTGATCTATTATCCAAGGGCCCAGTGATTTCTGTGGCCTCCTGCCTGGCACTACATTCATGGAGTCTGAAATATATTCTTTAAGAATATAAACAGTAAAAACTGAAGATTTACTTCAGTGGCAGAGCTTTTCCCTACTGTGCACAAGGTCCTAGCTTGATTCCCAGAACTACACACCCACCCACCCCCCCACCCACCCCCCCACACACACCCCTATTTCATTACCTTCATCATTAGTTAGGAATAGCTAACTGCTCCATGTGTGTGTCACCTGTAGGTTTGCTCTAGATCACTAAGTACTCACAAGTCTATGAGATGGTGTTGTCATTGTCCCCATGTACAGATGAGAAAACAGATTTGGGGGGTTAAGTGATTTAGTCAAGGATCCACATAGGCACAGCAGAGGAACTAGAGCTCAGAGGCATCTGGCTGAAGTCTGCAGTGTCCCCAGCCCTGCACTGGGTCTGCACTCAGCAGATGAGCAGAACTGGTGTTCACTGTTGTCTGCCTCTCTCTCTTCTAGAGTTCAGTTTCCTGTGCCTGGTTCCTATCACTGTCCAAACATGGGACTCTGCTTTGTGGTGACAAGGGCAGTGTCCATCGATATTGGATTCTGCACCTGGACCCAACACCTGGAAAAGACTCCCTTGAAGTACAGTCACATTGTGGCTGGGCCTCTGTTTGACATCAAGGCTGAGCAGGGAGCTGTGGCTGCTGTGTACCTCCCTCATTTTTTGGCTCTTCCAGGTAACCAAGGGAAGCATAAGGAGCAGGGTGGTGCTAACGGGAGGACTTGACATGTCACATAGCAGACTGTAGGATGATGGTGATGAGGAAAGGTCTCATGGCTTCCTGAGTGAGACAGAGTGGGCTATAGAAGTGAATGCTGAGATACTTTTCATTCTTTGAAGTACCCCAGCCTTAGGAATTTATTTCTATTTTACCTAAAAGAGTTCTGTAAGTGTTTCAGTAGCAATATTAACTAGCATTTTTAAGTGCTTTTTACACACCAAAGCTCTCAAGAAAACAAGGATAAACTGAGCAATGTGAAGAGTTTGTTGCAAACGAAGACTAAGAAACTAACAAGGATCAATTGGTACCCAACACTGTGAGGCATTACACTGCTCTGGGATGAGAAATGACATCATCAGATACCATTTGGGCACTGGAGCCAAAAAAGAGGGGCTTCTTAAGAAAAGAGTGGACTCATAAAATGTCCCAACCTCAGTCATCTCTAAAAATATTTCCAGAAGTTATTTTAACAAATACGATGTTTCCAGAGGAAAATCTCTTAAAGAAAGCCATTACTACAGCTCTCTCCAGGCTGGGCATGGGGAGGGTTAGAATTCAAGAGCAGGGTAGACTAGACAGTCAGACTGCCTAAAAAGAGAAAAGGCGACAAGAACAAGAAGGAACCAGGTGTTGCACAACTGGTTACTGAGACTGACTTCCTCCCCTACGTTAAGGAGCACAGGAAAAAGCCCACCACAGAGACCAGAAGAGTCCAGTTCACAGCAGAGGAAGACTATGTTTGTTCATGGTATAAAAGAGGTGAGACCCAACAGCTGAAGAAGTCATGAGGAGTAAAACAGAAACATGGGCTGCTCCAGTCAATTCAAGAACAATGAATAGAAAACAAGTTAAGTATCCTCTAGGTTAAAGATAGTCATATTTAATGGCAGCACCCAAGAAGAAAATGAAGATGAAGAAGCCAATCAGGACTCAGTTGAAAAAACTCAAAAAAAATAAAAACAATAATGACATCTACAAACAGATAAGCCCTAGCCCTTAACCCTGACACGGGAGCACTGCTCCCCAGATGGTGCCTTCCTAGTGTGTCAAATGAGGCCAATCCAGCAGCTCCATATAGAGCTCCTGTTTTCCCCAGCAATACTTGCCCCAATCACCGCTCAAGTTTCTTCCCTGCAGCTCACCACCTTTCCTGTTTCTTACTCCTATTCTCAGATCAGACAGTTGCCCTACTGGAATATTTAAAGATTATGATACAGTGCAATATATGTAGGAAGGACAGTCACAGGGCCAGGTGGTGGCACAGACATGTCATTCCAGAATTCAGGAGGCTAAAGCAGAATACGTATGACTTATAGCCACAAATTTACAGTAGAACCCTGTATCAAAACCCCAAAATGAGAAAAGAAGTGAAAGAATTTGGTAAGTCATCTTAAATGTCTCCATTCCATTAGCAATGAAAATCCAGCACCACATGGCCCTATCAGGTCTTAGGAAGGTGGTGACTATCATTTACCACTGCTAGAAGGGAAGTTGGACAGGTACAGCATCTTCCCAGGTTCTGTACACAGCACAAAGCATGGGCAAGTGCCAGGATCTGGTGCTGGAGCTGAAGCTGACTTGGGAAAAGCCAATGTTACAAGCCCCTAAACCAGAGCAGCAGAAACATTTTGTGCTGGGAGCTCCCTGTAAAACTATTACCTGGCATCACCTACCAAAATTCCAAGCTGTACCACTTCCTGGAGTAGCAAGCAAGTTCATTGTTTCATTCTTTGCTGCTTATTGATTCCAAAGCAATCACCCAAGAAAAATAGAGACTATCTCTGCTAAATGACATACACAGCATCACTGTTTGCCATGGGCAAATTTGGAAGCAAATACAGTGCTGAAAGGACAGGCAAAGGGTGGATTGCAGAGTGGTACCTCCATTAGCAGGGATCACATCAAGCTGACAAGTGACATTCAACATCACCGTTCTACCCATTGTCAACTTGACACCCAAGCACATCACTTTGCATCTTAGCATTCCACCTCATATCTCCAAAGTGTGTTTTCTATCATAAGGCAAAATGCAATCCAGTTTCAAAGGTCCCCAAAATCTTTAATAATTCCAACAGCTTAAAATCTATAAAAACAACCACTTATCTGAGTTCCAAAGCAATATCTTCACTATGAGCTCCTAATAAATAAAATAAGCAAGTTATATATTTTCAACATACAGTAGCACAGAATAATCATTGCCATTCAAAAATGGAATGATCAGGGCATACCAAGGATTGATCAAACCACAGCAAGACAAAACTCCATCAGCATAAACACCAAATCCTGCAGCTTCAAGTTCAGTTATGGAGCTCTTGACATTATTCACAGAAGTCTAAAGGTAGATCACCCCTCCAGTTCTACCACATGAAGCACACATAGCCTCTCTATTGGACCATATCTCCACTCCTTACCTGAACGTGGGTGTCAGTGAGGAGGCCTCAGCATTCTTCGGGGCCTTAGGCAATAGATCAGCATTTATCCCTGTCACTCAGAGGGATTTTGGGAGCCCATTCCACATGGAGGGATGATGTCTCTGCCTGGACACATGATGGAAGGGACTAGGCCCTGCCCTGGATGATATGACAAACTTCAGAGATCCCCCATGAAGGACCTCACCCTCCTTGGAGAGTGGAGTGGGGATTAGGTGAGAGGTTTGGGGAGTTGGAGGGGGCAGGAGAGGAGGGGAGGGAGAGGGAGCTAAAATTGACATGTGAAGCAAGTGTGTTTCTAATTTAAAATTTAAAAATATTGGTGAAATTAATAAAAATAAGCAAAAGCTTAAAAAAACACATCATGACCAAGGAACTTATAGAAGAAATATTTTGTTGGGGCCAGCAGATTCTGAGGGAGAGTCCATGACCATCCCTGCAGCAAGCATGGTAGAAAGTAGGAAGCTTGGTAGTGGAACAGCAGCTGAAAGCTTACATATTCACCTTCAGGGAGGAGAGAAAAAGACCTAGAAATAAAACAGGTTTTTGAAACCTCTAAGTCCACCACAGTTATACACCTCCTCCAACAAGGCTACACCTCCTACTCTTTCCCACAGTCCCACCAACTACGGTGGCCATTTTATTCCACAGTCAATCTAAATCCTAGGGTGCTGTTTTTCCAGCCAAGCATGGATCAATGGAAATGTTAAATCTACATTTTTTAATCTTTTCACTCACAGAGGAACATATGGACATCTTCTTATTCCGTGTGGCCCACTTTCAAGAACATGGGATCGTTCTAGAAATTCCAGCCAGGGTGGAGCAGCACTATGCAGTACTGAAAAATCCAAGCTTCTCCCCTGTGGGAATTCTAGTGAGAATGATCCCTGCTTTTGGACACTTCATCCCCATCACTTCCATCACACTGATCTACTACCACCTCAATCTCAAGGAGGTCACCCTTCATCTGTACCTGATCCCCAACGACTGCACCATCCGGAAGGTGACACTGAGGACCACAAAAGTGGGGCCAGGTTGGGCAGACAGAGAACTTGAGACACAGATAATAAGCTCCTTGGAGACACTCTCCACTTGGAGTGGTCATGCAGTTCTGTAAGGAGAACACTGGTGTTTACGATTCTGCCCTCTTCTTGGCCCCTTATGCCAGAGTCTCCCTCAACTGCCCTTAATGCCCCTTTATCTTTGCACAGCCTTCTATGGCCCCTTTCCACCTACCAGAAGGATGGGAAATCTCCCCATCCAACATGTAGCCAAACTCCTTCCTCTATGGCAGAGACCCTGTTTCCACAATGAACATGACAGGGGGCAATAATTCAACAGTCTGTGGGGCAGAACACAAGGCAGAAGACTGTCCAGGTGGTGTCACCACCTGACCCCACACCACACACTGATCAACTACCTCACCTTATTCAGATAAGATAGATGTTGTAGATCAGAAATCAACATAATTGCTGTCTACAATGTTCCCTAGGCCATTGATGAAGAAGAAATGAAGTTTCAGTTTCTTCGAATAAATAAGCCACCCCCAGTAGACTCTCTTTACATAGGCTCACGCTACATTGTGTCTGCATCTAAGAAGCTGGAAATCATCCCAAAGGTGAGCATCCAGGTGTTTGCTACTCTTCAGGGTCAGATGCCAGACTTGGGAAACCTGTGGGGCAGGTACAGGGCTTTTCAGCAAAATGAGACTGCGGAGAAAACTATTGGGGTTTGGGATGAGTAAAAATACATCCTAGTTAGGTGGAAAACAATTTAAGGGACCACACAAGAATAAGGAATAGCATTCAATATGCCACAAAGAAGGGATCAGCCTAACACGGACAGCAAGCCCTGACTTAAGATGCATGAACAGAACTTTCAGGATGAGGCCTCACTGGTTATGGTTTAAATCTAAATATCTCCTACAGTTGTAAATGTTTCAACACTTAATCAATAGTTAGTGCTAATATTTGGGGAGTTGTAGCAAGCCATGAGGGTTATATCCATGCCCTGACCCCCACCTCTATTAACTGATTGCTGATCCTCTGGGATATAACAAGCTGTGCCACAAACTCCTGCCATGAAGAATAGAGCCCCAGATTCTATATTACCCAAAATGAAACTAAACAACAATATAAACCCTTCCTTAAGTTGCTTCCTGTCACATGTTTGTCAGAGTGATTAGGAAAGAAACAGCATGATGGGAGTCCAAGATGAGTCAATTAACATTCTCCATATCTTCTGCTGCTACATTCTTTCTGTGTCCTCTTCCACAGTGTTCCTGCCTTCTGAGTAAAGTTGTGCTTCAAAGGCTGCGCATTACCTCAGTGCAAAAGACAGCCAGAGTCTCATGGGGTGTGCAAGATCAAGAAAGTATGGTGGTGTGAAAATCACTTGTTCACATGAACAGAGAGAGGTTTCTCACAATTCCTCTCTTTCTCTCTCTCTCTCTCTCCCTCCCCCTCCTCTCCCTTCAGGAACTGGAGTTGTGCTACAGGGGCCCCAGGGAATGCCAGCTCTTCTCAGAGATCCACGTTGACCATATGGGTTCAGGGATCAAGCTGCAAATCAGAGACAAAAAGAATAAGAATCTCATATGGGAAGCTTTGTTGAAACCAGGTAAAATTTCTTCAAGTCCAGATACCACAAAGATTGAAGAAAGGCAATGAGTGGAGAATGCTATATGGTCATTAATTCTTGGTGCCATGAAATAGATTAGTTATGTGGCTTTTGCTAGATCCCAAGCAGGTGGTTAGAGTTAGAGTGAGATCAAACTGGGAGAAGAGGATCAGGAAAGGTTGACGAGAAGAGAAAGAGAACAGAAGAGGGGGGGACAGAGAACAGGAGGGGGAAGGGGAAAGGAGGAGGAGGAGAAGAAAGAGGTAGGGGGCCCATGCAAGATACTTCTTATAGGACATGACTCCAGTGACTCTACTCCTCCAATACACTCTCATGTAATTTCCAATAGTGTTCTCAGGACTCAAGCAACTATAAGTGAACAAATTTCTTTCCCACATTAATAAACTTTTGCTTTGTGACTCTCAGAGTTTAGCTAGGGCCATCTGTGTTCCTATGTGTTTGAACTACCCAGCAGAAAGAGGTGAGTTCACCAGTGGGTACAGATGGATTGTATAGATCCCCTTCTCCCATAATCTATTATTTGCCAATATTTAAGCAGCACTGTCCCTATGTCTAGGTGACTGATATACAGGCCCTATATGTGTGGGTTCAAAGACAGTAGGTGCAGGTGCTATGAGACATGTTATGCTTAGAAGAGAGCACTTTGCAACCTCTTCTCCATAATCTTCACAAACCTTCCCCATGTCTTCTGTTCCTATATTCTTCGAATTTCTCTTCCACAATGATCCTAGAACTTTAAGAGTGTGGTATAAATAACTACTTACAGGGATGAGTGCTCAACCATACCTTATTCTCAGTATCCTGCACAGACACAATAATCTGCATTCAACTCCATTCGCAGCAGTGAGAGGCTTTTCTGGAGAAGCCTGAAAGGATCCTTTGTCTGTGGTATGAACATAGATATTGACACTATCTATGTTTAGCTAAGCACCAATAGTAGCTTCTCTCAAGGGCCCAAAGCCTCCAAAGACCTGGGTTTGTTTGTTTTATCCGTTTAAAGTGCTATGGGTGGATTCTGTTTTGTGAGTGGTCCAGAAGTGTAATCTGGGAGCTACTGGTTGCGCCCCATCACCCTTGTGCCACTATTGTAGCAATGGGACCATCTTTCCTGGCAGGAAGGTAGTTGACGCCTTTTCTTCCTCAGCAGCCTGCGTAACGTCACCTAACACTATAAAGCATCAAAAGGAAGCTTCCAACTCAGTTCCAGCTTGACTTCTCTAAGCCACATATTCAATATCTGTGGTTTCTTCAGCAATAAGTTCTTATTCACTAGTTCTGATGTGGAGCCAAGAAGAACGAAATGCACCTGTATTGTCATGGGAACCGCCAGGGCCTCCCTGCCCAATGGTTCCTATGGAGATATCCCACACCTGGAATCCCATTTTGTTTTTGAAACTCATTACTTCTAAGACTTCCCATTTCAATCCTCATAGGATGTCTTGTATTCAACTCTTTTATTATTTTTGTACTGGTGTCAATGTGACTTTTAAATATGGTCTTCATTTTCAGTAACCCATCCCACCTACCCCCTATCTCCTCCATTTCTCACCCTTCTTGCTGTTTGAACATTTCTGCTCCCACTATTCCATCTCTACCCTCATTTTACCAATAAGCCGCTACCCTATTTCCCTCGCTAAGTCCCTGCCCAATTTCTGGCCTTCTAGTTTCCAGGGGAGCACTAGCTTAAGTCCACAGAAGTAAAGGCTGTAGGATAGAAACTGCATGTGAAAGATGCTGTGTCTTTGTCTTTGGGGCCTGGCTAATCTTCCTCCATATTTTTCCTGTTGTATATTTAACTTTCATAAAGCCATTTTCTTCACACCTGAAAAAAAACATGGTATATATGTGCCACACTCCATTACCTAATTAACTGTGAAGGACATCTAGGCTTCTTGCATTTCCTAGCAATTGTGAACACAACTTCAGGAAGCATGACTTTGCAGTTGTCTCCATAGTAGAATATATACTTCTTTGGATATATTACCAGGAGTGGTAAGGTTTGTTTTTATGGTAGTTCTATTTCTAGTTCTCAAGAAGCCTCCAGATTGCTTTAAACAGAGGCTGCACAGGCTAGCACTCCCACAGGCAGTGAATAAGTGTTCAGCTATCTCTACATACACTCCAGCATTCATTATCATTTATATCCTTGATAATGGACATTCTCAAGGCATGAGACGGGAATCATATGTAATTTCAAGCTGTATTTCCTTATAGCTAAGTGTTTTCTAGCTATGTGTATTTCCTCCTTTAAGAATTCTGTTGTTTTCCTATTTGTATCCCCTTGATCTCCTTTTGTTGTCTTATTGCACTAGCTAGAGCTTCAAGTACAATATTGAAGAGATATAGAGAGAGTGGACAACCTTGTCTTGTTCCTGATTTTAGAGGAACTGCATTGAGTTTCTCTCCATTTAGTTTGATGTTAGCTGTTGGTTTACTATATATTGCTTTTATTATGTTCAGGTATGTTCCTGTTATCCCTGATCTCTCTAGGACCTTTATCATGAAGGGGTGTTGGGTTTTGTCAAAGGTTTTTTTCAGCATCTAGTGAGAAGATCATGTGGTTTTTCTTTTGCAGTTTGTTTATATGGTGGATTACATTGATAGGTTTTCTAATGTTGAACCATCCCTGCAGTCCTGGGATGAACCCTACTTGATCATGGCGGATGATTTTTCTGATGTGTTCTTGAATCTGATTTGCTAGTATTTTATTGAGTATTTTAGCATCGATGTTCATGAGGGAAATTGGTCTATAGTTCTCTTTCTTAGTTGTGTCTTTGTGTGGCTTGGGTACCAAGGTAATTATAGCCTCATAAAAAGAGTTTTGCAGTGAGCATCCCGCTTCTATTGTGTGGAATATTTTGAGGAGTATTGGAATTAGCTCTTCTTTGAATTTCTGGTATAATTCTGCACTGAAGCCATCTGGACCTGGGCTTTTTTTGTTTGGGAGACTTTTGATGAATGCTTCTATTTCATTAAGGGTTATAGGTCTGTTTAGATTGTTTATCTGCTCTTGATTTAGTTTTGGCAAGTGATATCTATCCAGGAAATTGTCCATTTCCTTTAAATTTTCGAATTTTGTGAAGTATTATTTGCAGATGCTATGATAGTTTACATACGTGACCCGAAAAACTCCTCAAGGGAACTTCTAGAGCTGATAAATACCTTCAGCAAAGTAGCAGGATACAAGGTTAACTCAAAAATATCAGTGGCCCTATTATATACAGATGATAAAGTGGCTGAGAAGGAAATCAGAGAAACATCACCCTTTACAATAGCCATAAACAGCATCAAATATCTGGGGACAACTTTAACCAAAGAAGTGAAAGACCTGTATATGAAGAACTTTGAATCTCTAAAGAAAGAAATCAAAGAGGATACCAGAAAATGGAAAGATCTCCCATGCTCTTGGATTGGTAGGATTAACATAATAAAAATGGCAATCTTCCCAAAAGCAGTCTACAGATTCAACGCAATCCCTATCATGATTCCAGCACAATTCTTCACAGACCTTGAAAGAACAATAATCAGCTATATATGGAAAAACAAAAGACCCAGGAAGGACAAAACAACCCTATACAATGAAGGAACTTCAGGAAGCATCACCATACCTGACTTCAAGCACTATTACAGAGCTATAGTCCTGAAAACAGCTTGGTATTGGCACAAAAATAGACAGGTAGACCAATGGAACCAAATTGAAAACCCTGATTTTAACTCACACACCTATGAACACTTGATTTTTGACAAAGAAGCTAAAACTATACAATGGAAAAAAGAAAGTATCTTCAACAAATGATGCTGGCATAACTGGATATTGGCATGCAGAAGACTGCAGATAGATCCATGTCTATCACCGTGCACAAAACTTAAGTCCAAATGTATCAAAGACCTCAACATAAATCCGACCACACTGAAACTCTTAGAAGAGAAAGTGGGTGATACTCTTCAATGAATTGGTACAGGAGGCCTCTTCCTGAACATAACACCGGTAGCACAGACACTGAGATCAACAATTAACAAATGGAACCTCCTGAAACTAAGATGCTTCTGTAAGGCAAAGGACACAGTCAACAAGACAAAAAGGCAATCCACAGAATGGGAAAAGATATTCACTAACCCCACATCTGATAGAGGACTGATCTCCAAAATTTACAAAGAACTCAAGAAACAAGTCTCCAAAACACCAAAGGATCCAATTAAAAAGTGGGCTACAGAACTAAATAGAGAATTCTCAATAGGGGAGTCTAAAATGCCTGAGAGACACTTGAGAAAGTGCTCAACACCCTTAGCCATCAGGGAAATTCAAATCAAAATGACTCTGAGATACCATCTTACTCCTGTCAGAATGGCTAAAATCAAAAACACCAATGACAATTTATGCTGGAGCGGATGTGGAGAGGGGGGAACACTCCTCCACTGCTGGTGGGAGTGCCAACTCGTACAGCCACTTTGGAAATCAGTATGGAGATTCCTCAGGAAAATGGGAATCAATCTACCACAATACCCAGCAATTCCACTCTTAGGCATATATCCAAAAGATGCAAATTCATACAAGGACATCTGTTCCACTATGTTCATAGCAGCATTATTTGTAATAGCCAGAACCTGGAAACCACCTAGATGCCCCTCAACTGAGGAGTGGATAGAGAAAATGTGGTACATTTACACAATGAAGTATTACTCAGCAGAAGAAAACAATGGAATCTTGAAATTCGCAGGTAAATGGATAACACTGGAAGAAACCATCCTGAGTGAGGTAACCCAGTCGCAAAAAGACAAACATGGTATGTACTCACTCATATATGGATTTTAGACATGTATCAGGATAGTTTCAGTCTGCAATGCCACTGACAGAGAGTCTGGGAAACAGGATAGAACCTAAGAGAGATATGCATGGTACCCCAGTGAAGAGGAATGAGGCAAGATCTCCAAATTAGGAACACAGCGGGAGAACCTTCATCCAGTGACTGATGGAAGCAGAGGCAAACACCCACAGTTAAACACTGAACTGAACCCATGGGACCCAGTGACAGAGAGAGAGGAGCGATGAGCAAATTGGCAAAGAATGGGCATGCGAAACCAGCAGAGACAGCTGATCTGAACAAGGGGGAGCTTTTGGACCCCAGACCTATAGCTGGGAGGCCAGCATGAGACTGATCCAGACCCCCTGAGTGTGAGAGTCAGTGAAGAGGCCTGGGAAACCTATGGGGCCCTGGGCAGTAGATCAATGTTTATCCCTGGCACACAAATGGATTTTATGTGTCCATAACACAAAGAGGGATGCTTTCTCAGCCTGGACTCTTAGGGTAGTGCCTGGACCCTGCCCTGAGCGAATGACAGACTCTGGATATCCCCTATGTGGAAGGAAGTATGGATAGCGTGGGAGGCTGGGGGGGATCGTAGGGGGGGTGCAGGAGGAGGGGAGGGAGAGGGAACTGGGATTGACATGTGAAGCAAGCTATTTAAATTTAAAGTAGTAAAAAAAAAGAATTCTGTTGTTACTCCTACAACAAACCTCAAAATTGTGCTATTTTCTTGTTATTTGTGTTTTCAGCTCCTTATATTTTCCTATTACTAATCTGTCAAATTTTAACTGGGAAATAGTTTCTCCTATTCTTGACTGCATCCTCACTCAATCAAGTTTCCTTTGCTTTTCAAAACTTTTTTAGAGATCCAATTTATCAATTATTGGATTTAATTTCTGTGCTACCAGAGTCTTAGTCACACAATTGTGATTATGTTGCTGTGTTGAAATGTTCTCCTTACTCTTCCTCTACAAGTTTTCAAGAATTGGGTCCCACATTCAGGTCTTTGATCATTTAGAGTTGACTTTTTAAGGTGAGGTATAGGAGTCTAGTTTAATTCTTCCACAAAGTGCTATCTAGTTTTCCAGAACCATTTGTTTAACAGGCTGTCATTTCTACAAAGTACATTTTGGGTTCTTTGTCAAAGGCCAGGTAGATATGGTTGTGTAAACTTTTATCTGGGTTGCTATTATACGTTACTGATTTGCACATCTTTTTCTGCCAATACCATACTGTTTTTACTATTATGACTATAGTATTGATTTGAAATCAGGTGTGAAAAAGCTTTCTGCAAAGTCATTTTTGTTCAGAATTACATTGGACATCCTATGTCTCTAGCTGTTCCATGTGTATTTCAGCATCTTTCCCACATTATTTGTGAAAAAATGTCCCTAGCATGTTGATTGGGACAACATTAAGTATGTAGTGTGCTTTTAAGAATCAAAATATTAATTCTTCCAAGAAATGAGCCTCAGGAATGTCTTTTCATCTCCTAAGATCCTCCTCAATTTCTACCATATATATTTTTTTCTTATAGAGTGCTTTTATTTCCATGGTTAGGTTTTCTGTCCCAAAATTTTGTATTTTTATTTATTTGTTGGCTAATGTTAATTCATCAATATTTTCAAGCTGACATGGACAAGAAAAAAAACAAATAGTGACATGTCTTTAGTGAAATAACAGTACAGTCTTAGTCCACTGCTCATAAGGTCAACACCAAGCTCCTCTAATCAGTACATCTGGGGATGCCCAGCCTTTGTCAGCTGTCAAATAGTTATTGTTCCTGAGGTGCTAGAAATAGGCTACATGTGATTAAATAATAGGCTTTGCTCAGTCTTGGCCTGAGTGAGCCACCAGTGGGGAACTGGACTGCCCCAGCATCAAGCCAGGGTTTGAATCTCACTCCAGCACTTAATCTTCAGACAATCTTGCAAAATGACTTAACTCATTTGAGTCTGACCTTCCTCGCCTATAAACTGAAGATCATAATGAGTAACTGATAGGATGATTGGAAAGGTTAAATACTGTTAATACAGATCTCATAGTGTGATCATTAGCTGATGGGAGCAATGATGCTGTTTTTCTTTATTAAGTCAAGATCTTCATCATGATTTTTTTAATTCTGTTCTTTTGGACTCATTAAGATCTACTCCCTCTCCTGTGGAAAAGTATTCAAATAAATACTGGAAAATGATCATCATGCCCCTCTTGTGTCCCAACTCTTACATCTTGGTTTTAAAATCCATTATCCTCAGTCACTGTCTTGATTAGATGCTCCATTTTATCTGCAAGTCAGGATGTATCAAGATGGTCATGGAATGTAAGGAATATTGTCCTGCTTTCATACAAATGGAACCAGGACTTCCAATGCTACGAACTGAGTCCTTGAGATGACTTCCCTAAACTGTTAGAGCACAGTGAATTTAGGGTCTTCTTAAATCATTGGGGCTTAGGCAAGAGCTGAAATGTACTAACCTCCTTCACTTGAAGCAAAAATTCTCTCACTGTTATCATGTGCTCAGTCTTGCTTCATCTTGATTCTGCAACAAAACAAGAACTACATTTGTAGCATGTGAGTGTGCAAGGTCAAATAAGAAAAAAAGTTTTCTACCCAGGATCAAATGTCAAATGATATAAGCCAGCATGGGACTTAGTCAATTCTCCATAGAGAATTCAATCTGGGATGAAAATGAGGTTGTGAACATATGGGAGAAATAGCTATTGCTCATTCAGATGTCTTCTCTATCAATGAGGATACACCTGGTAACTCAATTCCCTGTGTGAATTAGGAAATGTTCACCTTCCAGATTATGTTAGGATTTCTGTAGCTCATTTTCAAAATCGCAGGCATGGATGGGAGAGTCACAGAGAGCACTGAGTGATGGTGACAGAATCACAGAGAGCACTGAGTGATGGTGACAGGCATCATTGCAGACGCATCATCTCTCCTTTCTTCCAGGGGACCTCAGACCTGCACCAGCCATGATTGCTGCAGCCCTCAAAGGTAACTAACATCTATATGAGGCCAGACAGGCCAATAATATTCTGCTGGTAGATCATGTGATCTTTGAGGGAAGGACAGTGAGAAAGGAGGGGACCTTGCTTTGCAAACCTCACCAGGACAGGCAGGAGACGTGCGAGCCCAGGACAAAGTTCCTCTATGCCCCTTGCTGCTTCCCATGTAGACAATAACTCCACCCACTTCCAAACCAAACACCCAACCTGGTTTGGTAGAATGTCAAACAAATATCAGGCCTCAGGAAAGGTTCAGAATTTTTTTCAAATGACTCCCCAGAAGAAGATGGGAGCCAGGGTTGCAGATAAAGTCCCTGAAAAAAAAACCAAGAAGTGGGCTGTCGGTGGGAGAGCCCAGGGAGGTGCCTTGCTTTGGTCAGTGCCAGTCTCTTCTTCACCCATAGATGCTGACGCCAGGATACATTTTGTGGACCACCATCGGGAGCAGCTGGTGAAACGAGTGACATCTGTGGACCCTCTGTTGGACAAGCTGCATAGTCTGGTGCTGAGTGAAGAGGAGTATGAGGCAGTAAGGGCTGAGGCCACCAACCAAGACAGGATGCGGAAACTCTTCAGCCTCAGCAGGTCCTGGAGCTGGGACAACAAAGACCAAGTCTACCGAGCTCTGAAGGAGACCCATCCTTACCTGATCATGGACCTCTATGAGAAGTCAGGAAGTGTCTCTGTAAGATCCTGACATCTTAGTGGCTGAGGGGTGAGCACTCAAATGATTCCTGGCTATGCTTGACTTTCCTTTGGCCCTAAGTTTCTCCATGTATAACCCAGTGGCCATCTGAGTTGCTTTTCTGATAGAACTGTTTTTGAGACACCTCTTAGGGACCCAGATGTTCCCTCTTAGTCTTCCCCAGCCAGATGTTTATGTGGGATGAGCATCTCAATAAACTTGCAGTGGAGCCGGCAAGTTTACTCAGGCCTTATCCAGCCTTTTTTTTTTTTTTTTTTTTTTTTTTTTGGTTTTACAAGGCAGGGTTTCCCTGTATTGTTTTGGAGGCTGTTGGTTCAGCCCAGCCTCGAACTCACAGAGATCCACCTGCCTCTGCCTCCCGAGTGCTAGAATTAAAGGCATGCGCCACCACTGCCCGGCCAGCCTTTTCTTATGGCTTGAGTTGTCCATCTTATGCCCACGAGATCATGGTACAAGCAGGACTGGGAAGCTTGGAATGGAGACAACCAGAGGATATTTTCCCTGGAAACTGAATGTCTTATGAATAGGAAAGGAAAGTGGGTTCACAAACTTTTCCATCCTCAGTTTGGGTTTTCTTTGTTGAGTCTAATTACATTTTCAAGTCTTGAACAATTTTATTCATTTTCTTCCACTGTTTGTGCTTTTTCAGATTTTTATAAAAGGGGTTTATTTATTTCCTCACACCACTTCTGTTTTTCTGTATTTCTTAAAGAAATTTATTAATTTCCTCCTTGAGGATGCCCATTGTCTTTATACAGTCTGTTTATTGTGCTTTACCTGCATTGGAATATCCAGGGCCTACTGTGGCAGGATAGCTGGGCTCTAGTGGAGACATATTTACCTGGCTGTTATTGATTGTATTTTTATGGTGGCATCTAATCATCCACAATTGGAATGATTATAAGTCTAGGTGCTGATGTCTGGATTTGTTTTGTTTGGGTATGTGTCTTGCTCCTTGGTTTCTGTTTTTCTCTTGATTTTAGCAGACTGTGATGGCCACTTGTTGCCTGGTAGGAAATTTTATGGCCCTGCTATGGTTTGGCCACTGGCACTTCCCAGGAAAATGTATTTCTGATCATGGGGAGCTTGCACTCAGGAATGCGGATAGGCTAAGAGTCTGAGGGAGTTCACAGAAGGGAGGAGATCAGAGTGTACAACAGGGTCTGCTAATTTAGTCCCCTCGAAATGAGGGGAGGGACAGAGAAAAAAAAGGTCACCCCAGAAGGTCTTGCTGTAGCACTGGGAGTGAAGGTGGTGAACTGGATCTAGAACTGAAGGCCATTACAAAGAACAGAAGGAGAAAAGAAAATCTACAGACAGGCCACCTGCTTTTCTGGCAGGATAAGCCTGTGTGATACCATGGGGTACCTACTGGAATTAGGGGCCTGGGATAAAGCAACAAGTGGGGAAAGGAGATTTGGGAGGAGGAGGTCTGTGGGATCCACTGGGGATGTGGGCAGAGGTGGAGGGAAGGATGCAATGGGTGTTCTGTTGCAGAGACAGGGATGAGACTGGGGATTGGGTTTGGAGGAGAGAAGGGAGTGTTGAAGGTCTTCAGGTAGCTTACCATCTCTCGCTGCTCAGCTGGTGTGTTCACAGAGAATGAAAGACTGCTGGTTTGGAGGCTGGGATACTGGGATGAGGGGTGGGAAGAAGGGTGGAGGAGAGGATCTTTGAGATGTGAAGGGAATGGGATCACCATCAGGTGTTCTGCTAAAGACTCAGGGGCGAGGCTGGAGTACTGGGACCCAAGGAGAAGGAGAGTAGATCCTCTGTCAGTCTAGCACAAAGGAATGTGCTTTCTTCTCTACCTCATGGAATTTTTTCAAAATTGACCTTGATACTCAGACACAAAGCAAGTCTCAACAGACACAAGAAAATTGAAATAAGGCCCTCCATCCTATCAGACCACCATGGATTAAAGGTGTATATCAACAACAATAGAAAGTTTACTAACTCATGGAAACTGAGCCACTCTCTTCTGAATAAAAAACATGGGTCAAGAAGAAATAAAGAAGTTAAAGACTTTCTAGAACTCAATGAATATGAAAATGAATACACAATATACCCAAACATACAGGACACATTGAAATCGGTCCTAAGAGGCAAGTTCATAATGCTAAGTGCCTACATAAAAAATAAATACAAGAAACATCTAATACTAGCAACTTCACAACATGCCTGAAAGCTCTAGAACAGAAAAAAAAACATAATTATACTCAAGAGGAGCAAGTGGCAAGAAATAACCAAACTCATGGCTAAAATAAACAAAATAGAAACAAAGAGAAAAATACAAAGAATCAATGAAACAAAAGAGTTGGTACTTTAAGATATCAACAAGATATATAACGCCTTATCCAAACTAGCTAAAAAGAAGAGAGAGGATAGCCAAATTAATACGAAAAGGACATTACAACAGACACCAAGGAAATCTAGAGAATCAATCATAATGACATACTTTAAAAAGCAGTGCTCCACCAAATTGAAAAATCTGAAAGAAAAAAAAGAAAAGGAAAAATCTAAAAAAAGGATAATTTTCTCAATACACACCAACCAATTACCAAAGTTACAGCAAGATCATATAAGCTATTTAAACAGACTTATAACCCCTAGTGAAATAGAAACAGCCATTAAAAATCTCCTAACCAAAAAAGCCGAGGGCCAGGTGGTTTTACTGTAGAATTCTACCAGACATTCAAAGAAGATTTAATACCACCATACAACTCAAATTATTCCTCAGTTCATTTTAGTAGGCCACAGTTACCATGATACCCAAACTACAAAAAAAGACTCAACAAAGGAAGAGAATTACAGATCAATTTCCTTTATGAACATAGATGCAAAAATACATTTAAAATCACTACAAATCAAATCCAAGAACACATCAAAAAATTCATCAGTGATGATCAAGTAGGCTTCATTCAAGAGTTGCAGGGATGGCTCAATATATGAAAACAAAGGTAATTCACCATATAAACAAACTAAAATATAAAAAACACATGATCATCTCATTAGATTAGAAAAGGGCTCTGACAAAATCCAATACCCCTTCCTGATAAAAGTTCTGGAGATATTAGGGACACAAAGAACGTACCCAATCATAATAAAGGCAGTTTACAGAAAGCCCACAGCCAACATCAACTACTGAGAGCTGCTGTGGGAGTATACAGCAGGTAACAATTAGTGTTCAGCAGGTCAACCCATCAGAGGCATGATTCCCTGGTGGGGAGCCCACCTGGCAAGGCCATAGGGTAAATGATTATGGACAGTTGCTCCTGTCTGTAATTTCTCTCATGAGTCACATTATTGCTTCCCTAAGTACTTTATTTCTTCCCTAATGCAAGCTTTGGGTGTATTCCCACTGCTTATATGTTTATTTTGTGAAAATATTCCATCTTCTGGTCACAAATATAGCTGTGGATGGTCATAAGGATAATTTCTACTATCTGTATAATTTTTAAGAATAGAAATAATATTAGAATATTTTACATTACTCACACTGACATAGGATTTTCAGTCACAAAGACAGACTTATACCCACATAACTAACTTTAGGCTTCAGGGCAAACAGGCTGGTTGCCCATGGAGACAAATATATGAAGCCATTTCCCAGGTGTGTAGAGGGAGACATTTTTCTCCATCTAGTCTGGTATGGCAACATATTATTTATGATTTATTAAAGCTTGCCTGAGGATTCAGAAATCAAAATCAGCCACAAGCTATAGAGGTCAGGAGGTGGTGGCACACACCTTTAATCCCATTACTCAAGAGATAAAGGCAGACAGATCTCTGTTAGTTCAAGGCCACCCAGGGATACAGTCTAAAAGAGAAACCCTGTCTCGGAAAAAAAATAAAAATAATAAAAGAGAATTAGAGCTCACACCTTTAATCCCAAGACTCATGAAGTGTATTTAAGAAAGAGTCTCCAGCCCACCTTCCAGTGCTCTGAGGGCAACCAGCTGTGAACTGGGGACTGCCCAGAGACTGCCAGCATCCAACTCCCATTCTCCACCCATGGGACAGATGAGGTAAGCATGGGCCTTTCCGGCCTGCCTTCCTGGGTTCTGCACAGAACCACCTAGGGACTACACACTGCAGATTCCATTCTGACAGGATTCAGTGCCCCCAGAGACTGCCAGCACCATAGTCCCTTTCTCCACCCAATTGGGTTTAACAAACATCTGTAGAACATTCCAACCAAAAGAATATACCTTCTTCTCAGTGCCACATGGAACCTTCTCAAAAATCAACCACATACTCAGCAATACATCAAACATCAACAGGTACAAAAAAACTGGAATAACTCCATGCATCTTATCAGACAAAATTCAACAACAACACAAATTGCAGAAACCCTACAAACTAATGGAATTGAATGATGCACAATTGCACAATTCCTGGGTCAAAGAAGAAATAAAAAAATAAATTAAAGACTTCTTAGAATTCAATGAGAATGAAGACACAACATACCCAAACTTATGGGACACTTTGAAAGCAGTGCTAAGAGGAAAGTTCATAGCACTAAGTGCCCACATGAAGAAATTGGAGAATAGTCACACTAGAGAATTAACAGCACAACTTAAAGCTGTAGAACACAAAGAAGCAAACTCACCCAGGAGGAGTAGATGCCAGGAAATAAACAAATTGAGGGCTGAAAAATAAAGTATAAACTAGGAAAACAATACAAAGAATCAATGTAATGAAGAGTTGGTTCTTTGAGAAAATCAACAAGATGACAAACCTTTATCCAAACTTACCAAACGACAGAGTGTGAACATGCAAATTAACAAAATCAGAAATGAAGAGGAGAGGGAGCTGGGAGAAAAAGAGGGGGAGAAGAGGAGGGGAGAGGAGGATATGGGGGAGCAAGAAGGTTGAATCGGGGTAAGAATAGAGGAGAGCAGTGTGAGAGATACCATAATAGAGGGAGCCACTACAGGTTTGAAGAGAGATCTGGCTCTAGTGAAATTTCCAGAGATCTACAAGGATCACACCAACTGGCAATCTAACCAATAGTGGAAAGGCTACCTTAAATGACCTTCCCTGATAATGTGATTGACCACTACCTTGTATGCCATCCTAGAGCCTCCATCCAGTGGCTGATAGAAGCTGAGGCAGACACCCACACTAAACACTGAACTGAACTCCTGGAAACCAGTTGCAGAGTGGGAGGAGCAATGAGAAAGGGGTCAAGACCAGGCTGGTGAAACCCACAAAAACAGCTGACCTGAACAAGGGAGAGCTCATGGGCCCCAGGCTGATAGCTGAGAGACCAGCATGGGACTGATCCAAACCCCCTGAGTGTGGGTGTCAATGAGGAGATCTCAGCATTCTTTGGGCCTCGGGCAAGAGATCAGTATTTGTCCCTGGCATCCAAATGGGCTTTGGGAGCATACCACATGGAGTGATGCTCTCTCAGCCTGGACACATGAGGGAGGTCCTAGGCCCTGCCCCAGGATGATATGACAGACTTTAGAGATCCCCCATGAAGGGCCTCACCCTCCATGGAGAGTGGAGTTGGGATTGGGTGGGGGTTCAGAGGGCAGGGGAAGAGGGGACGGAGAGGGATCTGGGATTGACATGTGAAGCAAGTTTGTTTCTAATTTAAATTTAAAAAAATTTAAAACGGGGGGCATAACAGAAACTGAGCAAATCCAGAGAATCATCAGGTCATATTTTGA